TAAGTCTCCCATGTTAAACCAAGTGCTTTTTGTGGCTCAATCACTTTAAAAAAAACATTTTTTTTCTGGATGCTTTAAAGCATACTATTTGTTTTCAAACTGTCTCTTCCCAGTGCAAAGTTTCTGCTTAATGTTCTTATTGCTTGTGGCAAAGCCATTTGGACTGCAAATGACTCCCCAGTGATGCTGCTTGTGCGGCTACCACTCGGGCTGTCATGGGGCTCAGTTCCCCCATTCACCTCCCAGCCACCAATCCACTATGGGCCCAGCTCCATTTATGTGTAGAGTGGAGTCAGAAATGCTTGGTATCAAGGTAGAGAGCATCAAACCTTTATGCTCACCTCACTGAAGAGATGGGGATATTGAAGCACAGCAGGAGCACCACAAAGCAAATAACACAGTCACATAGGAGGCCAGCGTTGACCCCTGGACTTGTACCTCTTCTCTGGCAGTGAGGCGAGGTGAATTGAAGCAAGGACCCCTACGTGGTTGCAAGGAGAGCTGCCAGCTGGCACAATGGACAAGCAGTTTCCTTTCAAGTGGAATGGTAGAGTGTTCTATTATTTTTCAACACACACACACACACAGAGGGACAGAGAGAGAGAGAGAGAGAGAGAGAGAGAGAGAGAGAGAGAGAGAGAGAGGAGAACAAAACGAAGGCTAGAATAGTGCTGACATACCTATGATATAGGCTAAGTGACTTCTTGTCCACTCACACATAAACAGACAGAGCCTGAACCTGTCACTGATAATGAAACCTTGCTAGAAGAGCAAAGCATATGGCAAGGTAGCATGGTTGCAAAGGTTACACAGGAGCACAGCAGTGTAGGAGGCTACTGTGTCACTTTGGAGACTGATCTACAAATGATGGACATGTGAGGGTGATTTGCGTGCCCATAGTAGACTTACCCAGGACCTTGAGGTGGATGCAGGATTCCACATAGCCTTTCCTCCAGCCCCACCTTTATCATAGCTGGCTCACCCATCACCTTTGAAACGTCTTTCATTTGTAGCTGATGTGCCTCCAAATTATTGGTGTTCTGAATGTGAACGTGCCCTTCCTTTGAATTTATCTCATGCTGTCCTGCAGCTCACATGGGAGCGGTCGTCCTCTCTGGAAAGGTGGTAATGCTTGCCTACCTTCCCTAGGAGTTGTAGGAATTTAATAAGACTTCAATGCCCAGCAGAATTGTGGAACCCAAAATGCTGTATAGACAGCTGCTTCTAATTATTGCTCTTGGTAATAGTTAGGAATCGGAGAATTAACAGAGGGAAAATACTATGTAGTGAATTCATGAATTAATTTAAATACACCCCATAATTTAATATTCACTCATTCGCTGGATGTTTTTTGAGCATTTACTAAGTTTCCTAGCATATGTAATCTCTGAATGAACCTAGTGAACACCTTTAAAGTGCATTGATCTATGCCAAAGAAGAGATGAGAAGGAATCGTAAAGCCAGCATGAACTTTTCATGATTGAAATGATACCGCATATGGGGACTCAGAGGGACACAGACCACCAGGTGAGAGGCATCAGGAAGTCATTGGAAGGGAAGGTTCCTGAGATGTGCAGGAGCTAGGAGGCCCAGAGGAAAAGGCCAGGAGCTGAGTATTCCAGGCAGAGGGAGCCACATGAACAAGCTAAGACAGAGGAAGGACGATTGTGGGAAGAACTCTAGTCTCCTCTAGATGGCGAAAGTGAGACAAACACGTACCACACAGACACACACATATAGACACAGAGACATACACACAGATAGGCAGGCACACACACACACACAAGGGCAATTTGTGTGCCCATGATAGACCCACACTCAAGACCTTGGGATGGACACAGGATTCCAAATGTCGACTTTCCTCCAGCCCCACCAATGTCAAAGCTGGCTCCCTCATCACCTCTGCAGCAGCTTTTCTTTAAAGAAACCTGGGTAACTGCTGACACCCTGTAGGATCTTAAATATGTCCCACCCTCCCTGGAAGGCTGCATTTTCCCCCGACCTTCCCCTCAACTGTAAGCTTCTACCCACACCATTTCATTATTTGCCTCTGACCCTGTCTCCACTCACAACCTCACTATCCCATAAACAAGCAGTTCTTGGAGTTCTCTTTTGTGTATTCAGATCTGGGGCTCTGGGAGCAGAACATGGGTACCCTGATTCCAACATGTGACTCTTGCCCTTCCACTGCCTTGTACTCCATTATTACAGCTCAAGTAGAGATGTCCTGGTTCTCAAGAATCCAGATGAAGAGTGAGGTACACAGAAAAATCAACTTAGTGCACCTTCCATGTAGAACAGGGCCAAGGCCTGTTGCAGCTTATCTTAATGGTTGGTAGCAAGACAGGAGAAATATGCATTATAAAACCTCACAATCAGAGGCCACATCAAAGGTATTTTGTTGTTGTTATTGTTCTCTTTTTTTTGTCTGGCACCTTCTCCCCAGCACCCTCCATGTGGCTAGATGTGGAGCGGAGACTTGATGGTGGACCAGCTTTACTTCTTCTGTGTGTGTATGTGTGTGCACGCATGTGTGTGCAGGGACAAAAAGCTGGAAAAGATTGATTTCTTCCTAAAAGACACTTGACTTGGTTTTCCAGTATGCTCCTAGATTAGGTTCTAGGAGTTTCTTGGGAAGGTATCGGAGGAAACTGCATCGGGGAAGCAGAAAGGTGAGACAGGAAGGGAGAGGACATTTGCAGTTATGTGGATGGGCATGCAGGTGCTGTGTTCAGTGCCCAACCACCTGAGAACCTTTGCAAGATGATTTATAACAAATCAGTGGCTAAACTGTGTCGCTTGAGTATAGCTATGTCCTGTTCACGTTGGAGTCAGGGCTGCATCAGGTGTGTTAGCTGACTCTCAGCTGTGCTGTATACCGGTGCCCTGTTCACCAAAGGGTGGCGCTGCACCAGGTGTATTAACTAACTCTCAACTGTGCTATACGCTGGTGTCCTCTTCACCATGGGGACGAGTCTGAACCAGGTATGTCAGCTAACTCTCAGCATTGGCAGTCACTCAGAACCTTTCTACTACCAGAAAATGGTCACAGGAAAGTTACAGCAGCTCTGAAAAGGAAGCCATAGTAAACATAACTCATGAACACCCAGAGGAGCACTGTCAGCCTCGGCTCCACTTGCCAGACACCCATTCTCTCCTGTTCTCCATCAGTCAATCTCCCAGCTCTGCTTTTCTAGACAGATACCAAAAGGAAGCCTGACTCTGAGGAAAAACTGGAGTCAGTATTCACAAATGAGTGGGTGAGATCCCTATTTTATGGGAGCCTGTTATATACGCTTGAACTTCGCACATGCTGACCTTTTACTTTGTACAACTTCTCGAAGATTCCACTCCTCCCTCCAAAGTCCAGTTCCAGTTCTCATTCCATCCTCACCAGTTACTTCAGCAGCAGGCTGTGCCACCTCTACAGAAGGGTTACTCTGCGGTTCCAGGCCACCCGTGTCTGTCACACTTCAGTTCCGATCTCTAGCTGGGAGTGAGGAGACCAGCACAGAGCACGTAAGCATGGCAAGTTTGCGGCTGCAGCATGCGGCACACGACTCCAGTTTCATTAAGAGACCATGGCTAAAATATAAATATCCACCTCTGGTATCCACATGCATTTGTTTATACATGCATACACGAACAAGAACACATTTACATGTGATGTGGAATGTCCTTCTGTATGCTGCAAGTATGTGCTGCTTTTATTGCTTGATTAATAAGCTGTTTTGGTCTATGGTGGGGCAGAATATAACTACATGGGAAACCCGAACATAGATACAGAGAGAAGGGAGGTAGAGACACCATGTAGCCTTCAAAGGAGTAAAGATACCAGGACATTCCCGATAAGCCATGTGGTAAGGCATAGATTAATAAAAATGGGTTAATCTAATTGTGAGAGGTAGCCAGTAATAAGCCTGAGCCATTGGCCAAACAATTATAATTCATATTAAGCCTCTGAGTGTTTATTTGGGAACTGGCGGGTGGGAAAGAAGCTTCCATTTACATACATATGCTTGCATACACACGAAAGTTCAAGGTTATCGTTTCTACATAGTAAGTTTGCAGCCAGTCTGATCTACCTAAGACCTCTTTCCAAACAGAAAGAAGGTCAGTCAGAATTCAATTTTACGCTATGTTCCTGTTGAAACTCATTTCCGCCCAGCGTTTCCTTAGAATCTGCTACCCACAAATGACTTGTGTGAATGGTTTGAGAGAAGTCAAAATGAAGCCAGAATTCTCAGTCAGGGTCCATGAAGAAAGACAGAGCATGCTGTCCTCTGAGACAAAGGCACAGTGGTGTCAGAATGTCTCTGAAAAAAAAAAAAAAAACATGTTTGGAGGCAGCAGAAAGAGGAGAGATTCAGAGATGTGTCTGCAGGCCAATAAAATGGAGTTTTATTTGTCTCCATTTGGAGTGATAGATCACTGGCATGGTGATCAAAGGCAGCATTGCGGAGGACCAGAGGAGAGGGAGAAGGCCATTATCAGCAGCATCTGTGCCGTTCAACCCAAATGCCCGAGACTCAGCTGTTTCTGATAGCTCAAGGAGTCTCTTCCTAGGCAAGAAGACTCCCAAGTCTCCAAGTCTCTGTCTCACCATTCACAAAGCAAAGTCCAGGGCCTGGAAGAACCTATGAACCCAACAAACTTTTATTGGCTTCCTTTATTTATAAGTCCAAAGTCAGGTTGGACATAACCGTTGATCGCTGCTCCTAGGCATGAGCTATCTAGAGAGGAGACAGCGCTATAGGACCGTGATAAGGGCCACAGGGACACTGTCTATGCACTGTGGGGTTGAGCGGGACCTTGACCCAGGTTGAGGCATCCATAAAGTTTCCTGGTTAGTTGCTCAAGGTCATAGTCTCTGGTATATTGCCGAAAAGGAGTTTTGGCAGATGAAGGCAAAGGAATAAAGACTTTGGAGTGTAGAAATAACCAGGCTCACTAAGGATAAAACAATTATATTTTTATTTATTATAAGGGGAAAACTTACGAATCAGGAAACGAGAAATCCAAGCACAGCAATGTCCAGCAAAAAAAAAGGCGCAGAGCAAGCCCACAGGGAGGTGCACACCTTTTACCCTGGGTCCCAGGGAAGCCAGGCCTTATCTAAAACTCACCTCTAAAGATGGTTGGCTAACAAGGTTCCCCATCAGCTCAACCTCAGGCTGTTCTTTCCACTCCCTAGGGCTGTTTGATTCTTGTTGCTTTTGACCTATTTTGTCTCTCCATCTAGGTTCTAAGCCTCTAGGCTGTGGAGACTGCAGGAATGGGTGTGAAGGTAGGAGAATTAGAACTGTGCCAAGCAGAATCCTCATCTAGGAGCACCGTGCCCTGGCCACCTGTCTCTTACGTCTGCCCTTCACTCCTGTGGGATTGGCAGCCACAACTGGGGAACCAATGGCATGATAAGGCCCTCCTCACTGGACTCATGCTACACATTACTGGGAGCTGAGGAGGGCAAGGGAGAAGGAGAGAGGAAACAGAAAGGGGAAAGGGATAAGGAAAGTGGGGAAACAGTGTATTTGGATATTTTTAATAGAATTTTCTACTCATTTTTCTTACTATGTGTCTAACCTGAATATATATCAATGTAGATTCTGGAGTAAACCGAGGAAATGTTTTTGAGGTAGGACAGTGTAGCAGGAAGAGAGCTAGAGCTGGAGACCCAGGGTGAGTCCTGCTGTGCGACCCTGGGCAGTCCTAGTGACCTATCTAGTCCTTCATGTCTCCATGTGTCAAGGGTTTTGGATGGATGTTCTTCAAAAGCTTTCATTTGCTGCCTCTGTAGTCTCCAGTCAGCACAGAGAGATGGGAGGAGAGCCTGCCGCTGGTCTCTGGGCTTCACCAGGGTTCCGAAGTTTTTAATCACTTCAAATAATTCCTAGTCTACAGAGTCACGCAAAATAGCCCCAGAGAAAGATGTTGATGGCCAGCAGGATGATGGCGTTGAGGTTGCAGACACGTCTCCAGAGCGGCACCTCCTCGATGCTGGTCAGCTTCTGCTCCAGTGCAGCCTTCTCCGCTGAGCTCAGGGCTTGCTGTGGAGCCCCAGAGAGTCCACAGAACCAGTTCCACAGCCATTTCCCCAAGGACCTATGTAGGGCTGAGTGACAGGCCATAGTGAGAGAAGGTCAGGACCGGGAAGGAAGAAAGGATGGACAGAGTGGAGGTTGGACAAGGGATGAAAGAGTGGGGGATACTAAGACATGGAAGGAGTGGGGATCATGCAGGGAGGGCATTTTGTAAGGCTCTAGATTGCTCTAAATTGGGTCTCCTGGATGAGAACTTTGTGATAGCAACCAAATACTCACTGCTCAGAAGCATCTCGTTACAGGAGACAGTGTGTTTGAACTACCGCCATGTGTTCTTAGTCAGAGCACCAGTGCAGAGTGGGGACAGATAAAGAATCCATTTTACCCAGAAATGGGGAGTCTCGTTTCCTCAGCTATGGGGCCTGACATTGGACTAGAGGTCAGGAACCTGGCAGCAGGGCCAGCTCTGCCCTCAACCTTGCAATAGGCCGTGAGTAAAAATCATCCACCTCTCCTTAGTAGCAGGTGCTCTCTCCCCCATCTGACTTCGGGACATGCCCTGCCTTACTCTAAGAGTTGTTTATGCATCTAATGAGAATGGGGGTTGATAACACTACAAGGGCTACCAGGGCTGGTACTGGGAGAGGCTGTCTAAGAGAGCTCCAGATGCTCGGCTGTCTGAGGGATGCAGGCCGGGCCTGTCGAGTGAGGTGCAGAGCTTGGGATCACATAGCTCACAAAAGCTAAGCTCGAAGGGGCTGCTTCTCCCCTGTCTCGAGGCTTCTTTGTTTCAGCAAGAAGGATCCACTGCACGAGCAGCTGCCTTCCCTGATCTCTCGTTCCTCCACAGGGGCGTTTTGTCATGGGGTTGGGCTTGAGAGAGGGGGGCTTTATTTCTACGGGAGTTTATGGCTGACTCAGAGGGCCATTTTCCTCCCTTACGTGTACTGTTCAGAGGGAGCAGGCATTCCTTTGTATCAACAGCAACCACTTCTCCCTGGACACAGGGAGCAGCAAGGGGTCTGTCTGTCTTTGAAACAGGGGTCCAGTCACGGCAGTCTCTCCTTTTCCCCTTTCCTCTCCACCTTAACAGCTGCCTCACTTACACTACTGCTTGAAGAATGGTCTTTTCAGCTTATAAACTTTTTAGGGGCAGACTCAGTCTTTGCAGTGATGGAGCCTTTGAGACCCACCCAAAATCAGGTGCAAGGCTATAAAACATATATAAAAAAATAAAGCTATGGTTTGTCAATCAAAATACACTGAACCTCAGTGGGGTGACTGGTAAGGCCAGGGAGAGTGGCTTTGGCCTGGGATGCTTATGAAATGAGTATCTCTGTTTTTGACTGTGGTGTCTGTAAGACGGTGTCTGTAAGAGCAATCTCTCCTCTACAGATTGCTCCACAGACCTCTGACTACCATCCTCTGGGCAAAAAGTATTGAGCCTTCAGTCTTGATGGCTCTGGAGCTCAAGGTATCATGAGCTACTGGCAGGTACATAAATGAGGACCCCGAAGGAAGGGGAAAAGCCTCAGAAAGTAGGAGTTCCTTGAAGCCTGAGACCCAGTGCATGCAGAGCATTGGCAACCGTGCGGGTCCAGCAAGGGATGCTTTGCTAACAGGGTCTCCGTTTAACCTGCTGCAGTTATAGAAGCAGGCTCTGCGAGCAGGCACAGTACTTGGGCTTTTTGAAGTCTGAAGGAAGTTTGCCCAAATCTATGCAGAGTTGCTTCAGAGAATATCTCTAACTAAGGCTGGAAGTAAATACAGCGCTTAAATTTTATTAAATTTCTTCATAAGGATAAGATAATTGATTTTTGACTTTAACTTGCAACTGATGTGACTTTTGGAATTTCAAATTTTTCTTTGGGACTATTATAACAGAAAAAAACTCTATAATTTTGCCATTCTCTCATTGGGTGTCTTAATATTGTTACTTAATCTCACTATAGGAAGGTTATGACCTCATTATATTTCCCACTGGCACATTATGGCTTCCATTTAATTATTGTGCTATCCCAGTACAGATAACAACCTCTGGGAAGCCATCAGCTGCTCCAAGAGTCTGGCAGAGGGGTGGCCATTTTTCTCAGGTCTTCCTATGATAACAACACAGGCTGTGGGCATGCTCTACACTCTTCCCACGAGGGACAGCCAGGCTTCTGTGTGACTACAGACAGTATCATAGAAACAAGAGGGGAATAAGTACATAAACGGATACAGGGACAAAGCTGCCTGCTTCTTTGTGATGCCTGAGGCTCCCTTCCATGTGGAGGGAACTCAAGAGGCATAATGCTGTTTGGTTTTCTGCGTGTTCGATCTTTCAGGCTGCGTCATTGGCTAGATCTTTAGGAGAAAGGGTAGGCACCCCTGTCAAATGCTGTGTTTAGTATTAGGAAGAGCACCCCTCCATGGATAGACTCTAAATCTAACCACCGCATGAGTTACCAAGACAACCTTTCTCCTCTGTCTTAACAGGTTTAGTAGTCGCTTAGGGAAATGAAAGGATGGTTTTGATAGTGTTCTTTCAGAGTCCTACACCCTCAGTGACCCCAAAATTTATCCTGGGGGAATCCTCAGAGTTATATTTGTCCCCATTGTTCCTTTGTGACATGTGCCCCAACATGTGCCCCCAACTACCTCTTGATTGATCAGATGCCTGGATGCTGTTTGCTTCTTCCCCGTCTCCTGCTGGGCCCTCTGCATCTGGCCTCTCTGCCAGTCCTGGAGTGTTTTCCCACTCCGTCTCATTCCTACTCACAGAAGCTTCCTTCTCCAGCTCAGGTAAGGGACAGTTCCTTGTCCACCAGGTCAGGCGAGCAAGCTAGAGAAAGAGGAGATGACATTTGGAGTCAGAAGGCCATCCTGCTGTGGGAAAGGAAGTCTCATTCATGGGAAGCCTTCAGAACAATACAAAACAGGGTGAGGAGCAAAGTGAGGTTGAGAGGAGGGCACCTTGGTTTCCTCTTTCTTCAATTAGGGAGTCTTTCTTGAATAATCACTCTGTCAGCCCTAGGCTGGGTGCTGGAATTGAGATCTGAATCGGGAATTCCCCAGCAACTTGAAACTCAACCCAAAAGAAATGAAATAGATAGGAAGCAGGTGCCTGAACTCCAAGGAAAGACTTCAAAGGTCCAGGGGAGGGGTTGATAGCTGGCAAAATCAAAACCTGAAAGGCAGCGAGGGCTACTGCAGACCTTGGAAGAAAATCCTGTAAGCTAGGTTTTCAAAGCTTCCTTGGAGTGAATGAAGTGGTCCAGCCCAGAAACTGTTGAAAAGTAGAACAAGAAATAATTGAAAGAAATATTAAGTGCTTGAGAAAACAGGAGGGCAAGGTCCATGCATTCATTTATGCATTTATTCCTTTCGCAGTGCTTGGAGCCAGACCTAGGCCTTACACATATTAACCACCTATCTATCTCTCCATCCCAGGAAGCAGTAGCCTTGTGAGATATTAGGAGAGTAAAATGTATAGGACATGGTGACTTATGGAATGATCAAGTGAAGAAGAGGAGAGACCGCCATGGCTCCTGGTTCCTGGTTCAGCTGATGACGTGGGTAATGGGACCCCTCCAAGGGAGAGAAGATACAAAGCAACAATGGGTTTGGGTTTTTGTGAAAGAGGAGGAGAGAAAAAGTGCACAGAGACCCCAGAAGCAGGAGGCCATGTCTGGACACAAGAAGAGCTAGCCTCACTTGCTCATCTGTGCGAGACCCTCTTGTCTGCAGGAGTCATAAGGCCATTTTACTAGCTCACAGGAACCATACAGGTGAGAATATACACAGTGGCTGCCATTCGATGTTTAGGGTCTGGATTCTACCAGGCTCTATCAGGGGTCACATTGTGTCCTATCGGAATTTCTATATTGAAGTCTTTGCTCTCATATTTCAGATTATAGCTACATTCAGAGATAGGGTTATGAGAAAATAATTAGGGCAAGATGGGATGAGAGGGGCAGGCACTAAGGAGATTGGGTCTCAGACAGAGGACAGACTCGGGGAGAAGATGGCTATCACCATGGAGATTGGGTCCCAGATGGACACAGAGAACAGACTCAGGAAGAAGATGGCTATCACTAAGCTTTAGGAGAACCCTCAGATAAAAACAACCTGCGGGTCCTTGATCCCAGGCTTCCAGGCTCCAGAAAGTTATGTGACATAGTCTTAATGTTTACGCCATTGAGTCAGTGCTAAGTGATTACAGTGGCTTTAGTAAGCAAAACAGGCTGGGGAGGAAGCCTTCAACAAACTGGGCATCAGTATTCAGAGGCTGGGTGGAGGCAGTCGGTTCTCTGGTTCCTTTCTCATCATATCCTTCTTTCTTACCATAAAAAAATTACTATTTCTTCTAAGCCATCTCAGAGCAACATTGCCAATGTACCCACCCCTAGAGCCCTGGGCTTACCCTCTCTCCTTAAGCTAAGTCCTTCTATGCTTTCTCTCTATGTAGTTACTAGCTTGTGTTGGCATCTGCTTTCCAGGTACAGTTGTTGGTAGGGATCATTTATCTTTGTAAACCCAGCTCCATGCCTGACACCTAGTAAGTAGACAATGCGTAACTTTGAACTGAATGGGTTACTCCTCACCTGGAAATTCATACCCCAGTGAGCCTGTCCTCTAAGAGATACCTGCTTGGTAGTAGCTGAGATCATAATTCATAAGATAAAACCCAGTGGAGGTGTGGGGAGGGGTAGGTTTCTGGGCATTCAGGACAGAGGAATTGTTCCCAGAAGCCTCAGCCTGAACACATCACTTGCCTTTTCATCAGGGATGGGCTTTGTGTAGAAGCTGATTATGACAATGATGATGGCAGTAAGTCCACAGAGGAGGAGGGCAAAGTACAGGTAGTGGAAGTCCTTCAGAACAGCCGGCCTTTTGTCTGCCTCCCCACAGGCTGGGGCAGGGTATGAGAACTCCAGAGCCATGCGCACGATTCCCACTGCTAGGCCAAACATGAGGCCCCAGAAGGCACCCTAAGGAGAAAGTGGAGACAGAGCAGGGAGAGACTGAGGTGAGGTAGGTCCGACCTAGGAAGTTGAGGGACACTCTTCCCTAACATCTCCCACTACTGGCTTATTTCAGGGGAAATTTCAGCCGTGAAGTTCCCCATTGACACTCTCTGTCCTGACTTAAAAGGCAGGCAGAGTGCTGTGCTGAGAGGGACATGAGTTTCTGAGCTGCAGTAGAATTGAGATCCCGGCTCCATGACAATGGCTTGAGCCCATCAAAGTAAGAACGCTGGCTCGGAGCTTCCTTATGTGCAGTGAACAGGGAGATTGGTTAGTACTGAGTCACAAGTGCTCAGTATTCAGGCTTCCCACCCTGGCACATCTCCCTCCCTCCCATACTCATGAGGATTCCGTGTAGTTACAGGACCACTGTGTAGACATCTCCGCATGAGCTCACAGTGCATCAACATTGGTGTCCTCGCTTTGCTTATGTGCAGAAGGATACAGGCCTACAGGTGGAGCAGAGACCAAGAGCCTCAGGCTGTCCTGCAGTTTCTCACATCTCTGTCTCTCATGTCCAGCATTCTCTTCCTCTACCGCTGACCTTTCAGGAATTGTCTCATATGCCACTTCTTCCAGGAAGTCTGCCCCTCCCCTGGAAGTCTCTTCACTGGCTCTTTACTTTCCCAGAAGCCATTGTCCCTTGTCATTATTTAATCACATGTCTTCCCTGACTGCTCAGGATGGCAGACTTATGTGAACCTTGTAAACGGTTACATCCTCGGAGATATCATATGGGTTGGTAAGTGTTTCCCGTGCAAATGAGAGAATCTTGACCTGATGGTAAGAGTTAAAAACTTAAAGAAGGCGCTGACTTTGCTCAAACTCTTAGATGAGTTTATCCCAGACCCTGTGGTGTGTGGGGGAGGGGCAGGGTTGGTTGCACTCACAGGCTCAGTGACCCTCTTGCTGAAGATGGCCAGCAAGAAGAGGGCCGTGATGGGTGGGGCTAGGTAGCTGGTGATAGACTGGATGTAGTCAAAGAGCTGCCCACTGTTGGAGCTCTGGATGATGGGGATCCAGAGGATGCTGATGACTACCAGGAAGACTATGAACAACCTGTGGGAAGAGCACAGGGCGCTGTGAGTACCACACACAGGAGCATGGGCAGGATGAGGTGTACATGGGAATCAGGAAGGAAGCGAAAGTGAGTGGTCCCTGGGCCAGAGAAGGTCTGTGGGTTAGAATCTCAAGTACTAAATGGTAGAAATTACACAGTTAAAATCCCAGGAAATGGGACTTCAGAATTCAAGAAACCTTAGTATTCATCCATTGATTGGGTTCAAAGTTGTTCTGTATACCCACTGATGAGTGATAACCCATGCTCCCCTATCCCCAGGTATGCACTGGCAAGTCCCTGCTGAGGTTGCCTTTCTTCCTTTTTGCACTCAGCCGTCTAGAGCGATTTACTTCTCCAGGAGGCTTCTGGTCTTACATTGGCCCCGGGTCTCTGCTTGTTCTCTGTACCCCTCTCAACTGATTCCCACTCAGGCCTAGCACTTTTGGTGCCTGATTTTGTAAATACAAACAAAACAAAAATGACAGCAACAACAAACAAACAAACAACAACAATAAAACCACATTGCACTTTTCTTGGATGGGCTGAATGCAATAATGCATATGATCAGGAGATGGAGCCCAAATTACACTGATGGAGAACTATAGCCCTGTTGGTGAGCAGAAAGGAGGAATACTTCTAGAATTCTTTCCGCTCCTCTCTTTTAACTCCCACCTGCCCTTTCTCGGGTCCTGTTAGACAGGTCCCACCTGTCCTCTTTGATGCTCATTCCCTCTCCTGTCCTACTCTTAAATTCTGGGTCACTGTCTGGGTGTGTGCCGATGAGCAGGCCATAGGGCAGAAACAAAACGCCCAGGAATAGACAGTGAGTGGGAAAAAATGAGATGTCTAGTCCCACATCTTTAAACACAAAAGAGGCTGGAATGTGCTATTTAGCTTCAAAGCCAGGGCCTGGGAGACTTGAGTTGTGAAGCAGAGATTTCAACCCTTTACCCTCATGTGAACTCTTAGTCTGCGGAGACTAAAAAATTTACCACCAAGTTGTGCTTTTAAAAATATAAACTACTACATTCAAGGTGAAGTTCAACCTTCATTTCTTGGTGTTCAAAGCTTGTGAGTCAACTGTTTGGAGACAACTACTCTATGGACATCTCTCTCAAGATTACACTTCACTATCTCTTGAAGTTCCCTCTTTGTTGTGAGCTGGGGATGCCCCGAGAGCTGAATTATGTATCATGCATCTGTGTGTCCCCAGTTCAACAGTGTGTCAAATGATGCATGTTCTAGGTATATCTGGAGGGTTAGTAGTATTCATATTATCCTAGAATAACAGCCAGAGATGGCCCAAAAGACTTCAGGGGGTCAGGTGCTCCCCGAATTCCATGTGATCAGTTAGGGCTTACATGCATTATTATCTCACAGTGAACTTGTTAGTTAAACAGGCAAGGATAGATTTCTTCCCATCCCCTGCTATTCTGAAGGGGGAGAGGTGGCATAGTTCTGGGGAGGGACTTAATGCAGACTGGAACCCACTGTCTGACTGCAAGCTTGGGGTCTAGACCTAGCTGATCTTCCCAAGAAGCAGGGATGGGAGAGGAGAGAGAGAGTTCTCCAGCGAGAGGGCGCTCTAGAAACATAGTCAGCACACCTGCCTACCACCATCAGCTCTTGCTCAGTTGCCCGCCTGCGGAAGCGCTGCCACACGTCTATGGCAAACAGGGTGCTGCTGCTGTTGAAGATGGAGGTGAGTGAGCTCATCAGGGCAGCCATGATCACCGCGATCATCAGGCCTCGCAGACCTGGGGAGAGACAAGGCCGAGTGGAAAACTGTCCATTTAAGGGCTCTGCCAGGATGTTGGAGGTTGCAGCAGAAGCACACAAAGACAAGAATTTTGGGGTGGAGATGGGATGAGGTGGGTGCTAGTGACGGTCCCATCTAGGACAGATACAGAATCCGGAAATCCACAATGCTTGAGTCCAGGTTCTGGCCAGCCTCTGTCTCAGCTTTTTGGCCTTGGGTGGCCCATCAGGACTCTCCAAGCCTTGGTTGCCCTCTGTATACTACAAGATGTGCATGAATCAAGACAATAAGAGGCTTCCTGCAGTCTTTATATATGTTTTGGTACTATGGCCATGGACGGTGGTGGATCCCTGGGACTGGGGTTAAAAGGCTGCTGGTAACATATTTTAATTTTTACGATGCATTGTCTATCCTTTTAAAAGCAGCATTTCATACCTCATAGTGGTCATTACCTGAACTCTCAGCCTCAGAGACAGAAACCTGGGCTGTTTCCTGGCTTTGTGGGTAACTAGCTAAATGATCTTGGGACGAGGAGTTTTTTCTACTTGGACCCATTTTTTTCACCTGGACACTGGACATATTAAAGTGTACACTGATATTTGAAGTTTCTACCACTGATGGCCAAGCTTCTGGAAATGACCTTTCAGTACTGGGGCGATGACTCCTAGAAGTTCTGAATCATTTGTTCCCCTCTGGCTAATAATACCTTTCTGATCTCCCCACCTGATGTCATCATTATCCTAGACCCTTCTCTTAACTCTCCCTGTCCTGTTTCTTAACTGCTTGGCTCTAGATGGACCTTCACTCTATCTACTATTTCTCTGACTGGCTGTAATCACTAAAGACGAGCAATAACCACTCGTCTCTTGCCTTCCAGTTCCTTGACTCATTTATGTTTCCTTGACTTTCCCCTCCCATTCTCTCTCCATACTGAATTCTTCAAGCACAAACTTCATCATTCATGCTTGAACCAAAGCTCCCTCCTGTCTGCAGTGACCTCCTTTGCTCTCAGAGAAAAGGCTATCCTGCGTGGTGTTTGGACATAACATTCCCTTGGAAAATGGTCTTCACTCATCCTTTCTGCTGATGGTGCATTGCACGGTCTTCCCACCCTGATCATTTGCACACACACACACTATCTTCCTAGAATGGTGTTCCCCAGGCTCTTGGTTTTTGACAAGTTGTATCTTGTGACTCAGCAGTACTTCTTTTCTTTGGAGAATTTTTTCTGACAGTCTCCAAGATTGGTCACTGCTCCCTTGGAGCTCTCCTGGTCACCATATCCTATACTATCTAGGAGCCCAGGTATAGTCCCTGGAGACCAAAGAGAACTGGGATCAGAGAACTGTCTTTTAGAAATGTGTCTCCAATACCTGGAACACATAGCAGGTGCCTTGGGAAAGCTTGAGGGAGTGTGTGTGTGTGTGTGTGTGTGTTCTGGCATGGGGCCAGAGGTGAGTCTTTCTCTTCTCTCTTTTCATCTGTTTGTAGTGTAGTCCATCCTGGGCAGTGATCCCTAAAAGAGGAACTTGGTGGTGGAAAAGGGTGGGAGCTAAGACTCACCCACAGGCATGAGTGCCATGACCAGCTTTGGGTAAGCAATGTTAGAGCATCCCACTCTGGCGCCACACACTCTTTGACAGATGTCAGGGTCTACGCAGGCAACTTCATCTGCAAAAGAAGAGAGCTGTATGATGCTGTACCTCCTTAGGTTGGGCCCCTATTTACTTAATGGTGCTATGGGAATATGTTCTGAAGACTCCAACTTAGTCTATAGGGTGAAATGACAAGGATTCTGACCACCTACAGATATGTTGTGCGTGAACCACACTTCAGAGATTGTTAGAATTCTTTGATAAAAACAAATGTTCTTGGAAATATCCAATAATGTCTTATTTCTTCTTCTCCATATAAAGGGGAAAAATTTAAAGTGGCCTCCAAATGCAGATTTCTTCTACCCCAGTACAAAGTCTAAAATGTTTCCTGTGTTCCCTTAATTGAGAAATCCTCTGGTACACCTGTCCCAAAAAATTCTTCTCTGAAAATGCCCTGCAAACCCCACAGTTCTCAGAGAGCCACACTAGCTCTTACCTGGGTACAGAGCCCGGCTGATCATGCCAGGCATGACAATGAAGAACATCGGGAAGATCTTTAGGTAGCCGCCCAGCACTGAGCCCCCCTTGGCATGGGAAAGACTCTTGGCGGAGAGAGACCTCTGTACAATCACCTGAAACAACGTGAGATGTGCATAACTCTCAGTGGAGATGCATCACTGGTCAGAAAAGGACTTAGTTCAGTGCAGGAGAGCCTGGCACTGGTCACCATTTTCCTCCACTCAGTCCCAGGATGATGTCCAGCTCCTATGTACCCAACCGCCTGCTTGTTTGCTTGTTTTCAGAAAGTCCCTGCTGGGCCAGGCCAGGCTGGGGAACATTACCTGATCTGTGCACCAACACCAGGTGGCCAGGACTGTGAGCCCAAAAATGAGGCCTGGCCAAGGAATGTCCCCATTCACAGGGTCACGGAGCATGTGAAAGGCATCGGACCGTGGGAGGTGACAGGTGGTGTTGGGAACTGTGACATTGGGAATGGCCTGCTTATATAGTTGCTGTAGGCCTGGGTACCAGCCCACCTCCTTAAAGCCTGTGGGAAGAGACATGGTGTGAGAAATGGACCCGGAGTCCCCACCGATAGCCTCAGGTGAGCCTCTGGGTTTGAACTGACTTGACAACTAGGAATGGGTGAGGATGCTGGGTCTTGGGGTCAAGGTTCTTGGTTTGGAATAGAGAGAATGCTGACTTTAGGGAGGTCTGACCTAGAAAGGGGGTTTGGCCTTATGCTATAGAAAGTTCTAGGTCAAGGATAGGGTACATTTAGACCTCTTTCTTACCCAGGAACATGAGGACTAGAGCGCCCCCTACCATGATCACAGTTTGTAGAGCATCAGTGTAGATCACAGCAGTGAGTCCTCCTGGGTACCCAAGGAGAGGATACATCAGTCAGCATCAATGGAAAGTTTACCTCTGGGTACCTGCCCCGTGTTTGGCTACATTGGGGGAGACCAGAGAAGACACAGAGCTCTCTTAGCAGGGAACCCTGGTGACAGACCCTTCTCCATCTCTTTTCTCTCTATCCCACCCAGGGACTATATTGGCTGGTTACAGACCAGTATGTTCTGATGTAATTTTTCTATCCAGGGCAAGGTCTGGTCACTACACCATCAACAGCCTGTTGTTCTTGCCATTAATATCCCCAAGTTCTCTACTTTCCCTCCCAAAGTCCTCCTAGATGTCTCATATCATTCAAAGACAACTTAGCCATAAGTAGTTCTGTCCTGGGCTGTTGTCCTAGGGTACCCACTTCTATGAATTGAAGAAAACAGAGTAGAATGCGTTCTTGGTTTTGCTATGGTGACTATGGCCCAGACAGCAGTTCATTGATTTCCCACCTTGTCCCACACAGCCAGGCCTTGGCAGGACTACATGTCTCTCTCATTACATGCCTTTGCCAAATAGATTTTCCATCTCTGCTTTTCCACTCCCTTTTCTCTCTTGCTGTGTTCCCGTCTCCCTCTGTGTGTTCTCTCATAGTATATCTCTGTCTTCATTAGCTTGTCTCTGTCTCTCCATAACTTACTGTCCCTCTCTGGATCATCAGTCTCTGTCTATCTTTTTCTATCTTTATCTTTCTATCTTTCAATATCTTTGCTAGTGAACACTTCCCTCCTCATCTCGCGGTCTCCACATATCAACATGGCCTCTCCCCCTTGCTACCTGCGATGGTGTAGACAGCTGTCACCAGTAGCAGGATCACCGTGGAGAGATAGAGGTTCCAGCCTAAGGACATCTGGATGAAGATGGCTCCAGAGAAGATATCAGTCTGCAGAAAGCAAGGACCCAGAATTCCATGCTACCCAATACTTTCAGGATGGTTGTGGTGGGTATGTCACCCACCTTATCTGGTAGCCTCAGCTTTCATAAAACAATGCAGACAAGGCTGGAGAGCCATGCTGGTGGGTTTGGTCTTGGAATTAAAGTGCCACATGATGGAATGTGGGCTTGACCTTGCAGACATGGAGACATGGTAGAATTTAGGGTGAAACAATACTGAATAATGTTTTGAATAAAAAGATAAATAATCAGCTATCCTTGAAAGATTTGTCTGTGTATTATGAATGTCATGATACAAAATGAAAGTGGGAGATGGAGGAAGTAAGGCTAGACGCTGGAGGTGGAGAAGAGGACATTTGGGAAGAGAGAATAGGAACTGTGCAAGTTATTACCTGCTCCACAAATTAGCATAGGCCCACAGGGCTGCATGGGGAGGCAGCCATGGGTTCTGGATAATCCACATACTCAGGTTATTATGGGACCTGGGGTAAGGACAGCCTGAGCTAACAATGTCTGTCCTCAAGTTAACTTCATTACTATATCCGGCACCTGGTTGATTCTGTTCCCTTCAGTCTATTCCTCAATCCATTCCATGATTGTTCATAAACTGATGACAAAGTCTAAAATATGGTAGTGGGAGGACCTAATCATCTCAGGGCATGGGAGTCAAGATCCAGTTCTGATTCAAGACCTAGTCCTTTGTGTAGACTTGGATAATTCACTTGACATGTCTAGGTTTGTCTTCTAAGTTTAGTTCAATAAAGCAACAGTAAAGTTATTTTTATACTCTAACATTCTAGGCGATTAATAAAGAATTGTCCAATAAAGTATCAGTTTATGGAAACATGATAGAGTGGACTCTAGCTTGATAGTTCATTGTGTGAAAGATCGATATTCACTTAAAACATTTCCTATTCAAGTGTGATTTTACCACTTCTGGATGACGACTTTCTCTGAAGTCAGGTTGATCTAACTTTCCTTTCTTTTATCCTTCATTCCATCCACAACCCTTTCATTGTAGCCCCTTCCCCTCCCCCCTCTCTCCCTTTCCTTCTCCCCATCCCTCCCCACCATCAGTGAGCTCAGCATGATGTCCATGGTAAGAAGCCACCTGCAGTCATACCCACCGAAATCTTGGTGAAGATGTAAAGGATGAGAGACAGGACTGACATGTACACCTGGATCCTCTGCCCTCCAAACCGTTTCTTCAGGTACTGGGGCATGGTGACCACACCCGCTGCAATGTACACAGGGACGAAGATCCAGCCCAGGGCCACAAGTAGCCACGTTGCCTGGGAGAACATAGAATAGCTATTTTAGTCATAGAAAGATTGGCAGCTTCCCTCCCGTAGGTAGCATGTTGGGTGGAAGAGCCCTGATGGGAGAAACGAGAGACCTGGGTCCTCCTACCAGCTTTTCTGGATAACCCCAGATGAGTTCTCTTTCCTCTTTAAGGCCTTAATTTCATCATCTATGTAATGGGTACTCTCTTTACTGCACAACCGCCCAAGTACCTCTAAGATATCTTTCTTCTCTAAGGCCAGGGACAGGAGATGGTTCTGACCCTCAACACCCTGGAGCCGTCAGGTCAGCTTCCTTACATTCCACTCGAAGCCACCCACAGCAAGGCCTCCAGCAGCCCCTGTCCCAGCCAGACCGATGAATAAGCCACTGCCCACATTGCTGGACATCAGAGATGCTCCAATCTGCAAGGCACAAGTGAGGTTAAGGGGCAAGGGTCAGAGTCAGTTTGGAGCAATCCGGGCTTAGGATCCCTTACTGTGAGGAGCCAGCTAGAGGCTGTGATTTTTGAGGCACTGGCTAGAGAGAACATTTCTGCAGGTATTTCTTTCTCCTCACAAGGGAGTAGCTGGAAACACCAGTCATTTCTCATTATCCCTATGAATTTCTGGGTTCCAGACTCAAACATCCTTGGGTAATTATCATGTAAAAATAGATATAGGTTCCCTGTCCTTAGATCTTCCTTCTCCATATAGCCAAATCTTTCAGACTCCCAAAGGCTGTCAGGGTTTTCTCTTCTTCTTAGAGAGAAGACTGTAAGCTGTGGTGGGCAAGGACAGTGAGCATCACCAAAATGGAGGGTCAAAAATGACTGGCATTATGAGTGTGAGAGTAACTGAGTGAGGGAGTGAGGGAACGAGAAGGGTGTGCAGGAATCTTTAAGTGTAAGGCTATGTGAATGAATGTACGAAAGTAAGTGGGAGCGTGCATGTATGCACATGTGTGAGTATATGTGAATGCTGGCCTGTAGGAATGTATGTGTATGACTGTGGGGGTGTGACTGGGAGAACATGAGAGCGTGTGAGCACATGAATGAGCATGGGAGAATGTGTGTGTGTGCGTTTGATGTGACTAGGTTTCTAGGTAGACCTCATCTCCCTTCATCCTACTTTGGGAAGAGAAGTTAATTTTCAGGGATCAGTAGAAATATAGGGTATGGCCCAATGGGAGAAATGCTTGGGACCAATTTCTGGAGATGGCTGGGAGCTCGCCCCTGATTCTCAAGTCAATGTTGGTCAGTATTAAGTGCAGGTGTCATTTGTTCAAGAAAATGATTCCTACTTCTTATCCACCTGTGGCCTGAGACCCAGCAACTTCACCAACCTATGAGAAGTGCAGTGCCTCCCTCTACCCCAGGTTTGAGTATATTATTCCTAAGTCTGTGTGGCCACTCAACTCTGAGCATCCCTATAGCAGGAAACTCCACATATATCTCAATAGATCCAGTGCCCTACATAAGGCCCACACCTGGAGATAGAGCAGGGGGATGGAACTCTCCCTGGCTGTGAAATACCAGGTTGGATACCAGGCTGAGCACTGCAAGTGTTGAAGATATTTGTTTTTTTTTTTTTTAAATTTTGTTTTTGTTTCCCGTGACTAAATGAAACTTCAGAGAGAGCAGGGAGAAACTGCTCTACCCTTTGATTGACAGCTAACAAATCCTTCCCTGAAGCCTGGATGCCTCGGCCAAGCAGTTGTCATACTAGCTAGCATCTCCTACTGGGTGAATGGCTAAACTGTTGTCATGGCATCCCAGCTGCTTCAAATGACTCAATGATCACTGAGGAGACTACACTTGAGATTCAGAGAAACACTGCAATTGTGACACCACAGAAGTTACAGATGGCTGCTTTGAGAGGCTGTGCTCCTGTTCAACACTTCAAAAAACCTGCACCAGATGGGGAAGATTGCACTTCGGGCTATAGTGGATAGCAGAAGACTCTACTCATCCTATAGCGACTCACATAACACAGAAGGGGAGCAACTCCCCAAGGGCACAGAGAAAGTCTCTGATTAGTGCAATGTGAGGCTTGTGATTGGTCCTTATTTAGGGAGTGTGATTAGTGGAATTAGAAGCTAGAGGCATATGGGCATACCGGGCTGTGATTGGTGAAATTATATTCCAAGTGTAGGTGTGCTTCCATTCTTTTCTGGCCATACATATAATCAATTAGCTTGGGAGGCTTCTCTTTTGTGTACTTCCCCAAAACTCCCTGCTGCATCTCGGTGTTGAAACATTTTGCCTAAATAGTTGTTTTTCTTATGAGGGATCATTATCACAAGTAGAACATGTTGGTTTGGTTGTTGCATGAAGAGCAGATATTAGATCACAGGGCATAACAACTGTAGTAGTAAGGAGGAAGCTAAGAGTTCCAGAGACCCACTGAGAGCTAATAACCCAAATATTCAAAGCTCAGATACACAACAGTAAGCTGAAAAATTAATAATAATAGTAATAGTAATAATGGTGGCCAGAAACTGCAAGAAGCTTATTATGAAGATTTGGATGGTAGCTGAGAGTACAGGACTGTAAATCTGGGTCACAGAAAAAGTTTGAGGGAGATAGTGAGGGCTAAAGATTTGTAGGCTCCATCATCTAAAGCTAAACTCATTTAGGCTCTGGGTGTTAGAGCTCCAAGCTCAGAGCAACATCCTGGGCCCTCAATAACTCTCTGGTCCTAAAAGCCAGGGCCATGAGACTCCAGTTCTAGTACGGAGCTGTAAGCGTCTGTTTGGATTCCCAGCTTATAAACTTCTAGAGCTGAGTGCTATCAACACTATGCTTCCCCCACCCCACCCCAGGCCACCTCTGGTTTCTGTCTACATAGAGCAAAAGAATCCCAGACAGCCATCTGTGACATGCACAGAAGGCACCCAGGGGAGATGGCTCAGGCTGCTGCGTGGGTTGTGGGCAAGAAAGGAATCTAGAGTTGGGCAAAAAAGTAGGGGGGTGTTGATGAAGTTCTGGCAAGAAAAGCTGAGAGGAGGTTATGGATGGTCAAAGCTGGGAATATATCCTGGGAGAGGAGGGAGGAAGGTCAACTCACTGGCCACCAGGTCATGGATCTTCCAGCCAGGAAATAGCCACCAATGGTCCCTCGGCTTGCACGGACAGACGACTAGAAAGAATATGCAAAGATGTCAGTACTTCCCAAGCCTCTTACCGTTCCCACCTTCCACGCCTTAATTAATTGCCCCCTTGGCACAGGCACCTTGGTGACAGGGATGACAGGACCTGAGGCAGAGCAGGGTTGTCTGTATACTTATGGCATCACTGTTTTATAAACTATGGGTCTGTGGGAGAGTCACGCCCTCTTTGTTAGTTTCGCTCTCCTTCTAGTTCTCAGGACTCATGGAAAAACAAAGGAGGCAAAGGCTGTCCGAGGTCTTCAGGAATAGCAAAATGTCGTGAAAACTATCTGGGAGGTAATTAGTGTCTCCTTATTTTCCATCTGTTGGTGACCTCTTCCAAGGGGTGGAATCTGTCTCAGGTGCATAGCTGACTCTTCCTTGAGCTAGCCCCTTCTTTCTCCTCAGACAGATACCCACATCGGACTGGGTACTGTTCTAGCCATTCTGAACACTGGCCAGAATGAAGAACTCTATTTGGGACATGCATTGATAAGGCCTGGAGCCAGAACACACCATTGAACCCACTGAGGATTCTGGAAGGATCCAGTAGGTGACCAGTCCATGGCCTGTTTTGGGGTGTGCTCTGAAGGGTGAGGAGACACAAGGAGTGTAAGCTCTTTCTCTGGGGACATAAGCCCAATCTTCTTGGTCAAGATGCTAACAGGACTGCAGTGACAGCTGAGCTTTCTCCATCTTTGTGCTATTGATGTGGAGAGGGCCTAAGTTAGGCTCAGGGTGGCTAGGGGTGTCTCTGCAGGGCATGACGAGAGTCTGTGGTGTGGGCTGATAGTGGGGAAGGGTGTGCTGAAATTTGTGTTTGGAAGATTCCAAAGCCTCGTGTGTTAAATACTTAGTCCCCAGTGCACTATCAGACATGGGATTTTAGGAAGTGCTTGGATTATGAAGTTTGTGACATAGTTAATATATTAGTCCCTCTGATAGATTAAAAATTGAATGGGATATTGTGAAGCAGTAGAAACTATGAAAAATGAGCCCTGGTTAGAGCAAATAGGTCATGGAGGATCTGTCTTGCCACCAACATTTTCCTCTCTGTGTCTGTTTCCCAGCATCCATGAGATGACCACTGTCCTCTGTTACAGGCTCCTGTTGCCTCCTCACTCATCCATTGTAATGGAGTCAGCTGACCATGGTCTGAGCTCTGAAGCCTGAGGCCTAAATACATCTTTATTTCTTTATGTTAATTAACAAAGCATACAAGAGAAAGCTGACACAAGAGTGGAAGTTACTTCTGAGTGGGAAGCAACAAGTCTGACCAGATCTGAGAACAGAGAAATCCTTGAAGTAGAGGAAGGAAAAGCAAAAGGTGTTTAGTCACTGGGGAGCGATGCTCGCATGTACAGGGCCTGACGTGTGCTAAGCTTTGGCTAGAACATTCTTGTGTCACCTCTGATCACCTCGGTGGCAACAGTGGCAGTGAAAATTCATTTCACAGGTGATTAATTGAACCACAGGAGCAGAAGAGGATTTGTCCAACACACACGGGAATTAGGGTTCTCATGCTGGCCGCCTTGCAGGGACTGTTGAGTTCCTGTTTGCCCACTTCTTCCTCAAACGAAGCCTGGAAAGTGAGGGCTAGCACCCCCTCCCCTCACAGAAGAGAGGCCTGAGGTGTTCCTGACCAGCTGAGACTTGAGTGATAATCTACCTCTCAGCAATCTGGAGGGACTGGCCTCTCAGCAGAATCCTGTCTTGATAAGAACAGCTGTCTATGACCTGCAACCTGCATACTGGGCACAGTGCCAGGTGCTTGTCCTGTCACTGAGTGATTGTGTTTTTCAATAATATTAGCAACAAACACATGGGGAAACTGAGAGGTTTCTATGTCCCCAGGACCCCATGGCTCTAACCGCTAGAGTAAGATCTGGGCTCAGGGTTTCCTGACCTCAAAGCCTTGCACCTGCCCGCAGCTGTGTGGTTTCCTTGAACTATAGGAACATTGGAATCTGGAAGGCACTGTTGCCTGAGAACATGTGAGTCTGAGCTCTTTGTTCAAGACACTAGTAGGAGAGGAAGGCTGGGTGTTGAGCCTACTCTGAGTTGGGAGTCCTGAGGGAAAGGAGAGGAGAGCCAGACTCACAGTGATTAAACGGGTTGAAGTCAGAGCTCCTGGCTTGACCTGCCTCTGGCCTCATTCGTCCATCTACAGAAGGACAGGGTGGGAATGGGTGATTCCTGAAGCACCATAGTATCAGCTTCCTACTGTTGTGTATTCCTCCTCTTTTCTTCTCTCCCTACCCCTCTCCGAGCTCAGGATGAGAGGTTTCTCTGCCTGTCTGTCAGGCTTCAGCATTATGTAGTTCTCACTCACCCAGATTCCCACAGCAAGGACGAAGACAAAGTAGATGACCACCACCACGATGTCATAGGCATGCAGGCCAACTCCAGAGCCCAGGGCTGAGTGTGGTGCTGTCTCAGCACTGGCTGCATCCACTGAATCTCCAGGCTCCATTGCTGCTAGCTCCTTGCTCATCTGTTACTGTCCTTTCCGGCAGACTGGACTTTGATGTCCTCCTGGCTTCGTTCCTTCCCTTTAATGATTAAACAAACCCAAGTCTCATTAGCATCTGAGAAAGTGAGGAGTCCTGCTGGCAGGTGAGGTCCCGCCCACTCTTCTCCTAACTGCAATGCCTTCCCTTGTGTTACTTCTTCCCACCCCCTCCCTCTCTTTGCCTGCTGCCATTGTATACATCTGCATGCAACATGAATCTGCATGCCTGTAGGTAGTTGCATGCGTGTGTGCGCACATGCACACACACACACACACACACACACACTTTAGAAATCAAGGTACTTAAGCAGCTGCTCTGTGGAAGAACCGAGGAAAGTGAAACTGAGGAAAGGAGCTGCCGCTGAAGTTCAGTCATCAGCTTAATACAACTTTCCTTTATCCAGTAAGAGCAAGAAGAGGGAAGACAGGAAGAGTCTGTGATCATCCCTGTAAAGCCACTGCTGCCCCCATATGCCCTCACCTCCAATCCACCAAGGTTCCTTGTTTTACAGTGGAGGAAATTGAGACCCGGACAATAGCTAAAGTTTTCTTGCAAAGAACGGGATCTTTCGTGTCCTGGCAAGTCAAATTTACATCTTCTGATGCTCAATCCACGCTTCCCATCCTGTGCTATGACAGATGAAATGGGTGAGGTCAAGGTCTAGCTGGAAAAAGGTAGAGTTCTTCTAAGACCTGGTTTCTGGTCCCCACCTTGCCTTTTACTGCCCTTCTGATAGCTTTTGGCAAGTTGTCTCTGAGTTTAAGCATTCTTCTTATCAACAGGCCCTGTGTCCTGCCTGCCTCACTGCATCAAGGAGGTTAGAATGTGCTGCCAAGATTCTTTGCAAACTCCTGGCTACTTGGCTGTCAGTGCTAATATAGATATACTAGTACCAGCCACCACCTAGCTAATAGACCCAGATGCCAGGCACAAGGCATGCCTGTTAGTATCATCCCGGAAGAGCTACATTTGTACCTTTCAGTCTGTAAGTGTTGTGTTTTGTCCATATACAGGCCAGTCTCAGATTGGGGTGGATAAAGAGATCCCATTGACCATGCACCTCCATCTCAGCCACAGTCTCCTCTCTTTTCATTGGGGGATAAAGAAAGTAAAAAGCAGAGCCATGGATTTCTTTCGGCTTGGCCCTCTCGCTCAGAACAGCAGGTATAGGGCGCATCTGGAGACGCAGGAATTGGAACTGGATCTTCCAGGGTAGCCAACTGGGATTGGGTATAGCAGAGTATAACATCCATTTGGGTTAGGGGCCCAAAGGACAGAGAGGCAGATTTGTAGCAAAAGTGTCTTTCAGATGCATTTACATGTAATAAGTGTTTATCAAACAAATGTGATGGGCAAGGAGCTCAGCTATTGTTAGCAACATCAGAGAAATGTGAAGGACAGGCCCTGGTGTAGACTTTGTGAGAAAGGTAGCTTGCACTTGCATGTTAGCAAGGGACAGAGGCTAGGTGTGAGCTCAGGTCACATGACTTAGGGCTGCCTATGGCTCATTCCTTCAGAGAAGGAATATAGCAGGAAGTAGAGAGCTGAGTCTAGAATGTTCCACCTTACCTACTCAGAAAGGTCATCTGGCTCAGGGCTCTACTGCCTCCTCTTAAGCGCTGGAGGCTGTGCCCAAACCCTGCTGTCGGTCTAATCCTATCCAACAGGTTTGGCCACACAATACCAAAACTAAGAGAACAAGGCAGCCAGCTCTGCACTGTTGCAGCCATGGAGCTGACGTGTCTTGGTGTCACACTTAGAGACCCTACGCCCAGAGACATCCCCAGGAAAGAGCCAGCCTTATGCCTATTCTAGGTTCTCCAGTCAAGCTTTCTCAGGAGAGCCCTGCTCAAGTCAGAGCATCTGTGCCAAGAGCTCATCTCTGTAGGGATATTTAATTTGTGTTTTAACAAACAAAGCTTGCCTAAACATCTAGAAGCCAGCTCTAGAGAGGGCAGGATGCACAGGGAAGAGAAGGTTGCCTGATGAATGAAGACTGAATTATTAAATTGCCCGAGGCACTTGGAATTACAATTTCTGAGTACCTGAGGCTATATCTTCGAACTTAAAATGTCAGAATGTCCATGTAATTGTAACCAGAAAATGGCCTGGACTTTAATTTAGGAATGTGGAAAGAATGTCCCACTGAGCAACCAGGATCATTTTCCTGAGTCCAGCCTATTTTACCTTCAGTTCACAGAATGTGGAAGATCAGACCCATATGCTCAACATCTTAGCCTTCATTGAAAACTGTGTAATTCTTCTTGGATCCTGGCTAGTAGATCCCCTAGCTTCTTGGCCTTAACATTCTTGGTCACCAGCTGCCATTTCAGTCCTCTAGGATAGCTTATGTCTCCCATAGTCTTAGCGTTACCTATTGTGTCTATCATGTTCTTTTCCCTTTGGTTGTTTTGCAGCGTGCAGATGAACAGGTGGCCCTGCCAGCTATCACAGGGCAACTGTCCTGTGGGCAGCTTATGGGAGTTCGCCTTTCCCCACAGCCCTCAGAAGTGGGGTCATGACCCTTCCTTGCTGTTTCCTTGCTAGTAGACTGAAATATGGCAGCGGGGGGGGGGGGGGGGGGGG